GAGGACATGTGAATCACATTTTCATTTTGAAATGATTACCCTGGCTGCAGTGTTAACACCTCTAAAGGTAATTTCTCCTTTGTAAATCCAATAAGCAGGGTCAGTATTCAGTTACTGGAAGCAGAGGCTGGTGCCTTGCAGCCAGATCTGGGTTTGAATCCTGGCTTCGAGCCTTACTTCCGGCGTGGCCTTGGGCAGCCCAGCCTTCCAGAGCCCTAGTTTCCTCATATATAAAACAGCGGTAATGATACCTCTTTCTGCGTGGTTGTGAGAGTTAAAGAAATTAAATAAGTAGTCTTGCTCGTTACACAGTGAACTCTCCTTGGGATTTTTTGAAAGTAGAAACCGACTTTGACATTACGTGTGGCATGAAACAGACAACATCTTTACTTGAGGAAAACACCTTGGACCTAAACTTCACCTTCCTACAGATTCACAGTTTGGAAATACTGTACCTATTCTTGTCTCTCTCTCTCTCTCTCTCTCTCTCTCTTTTTGAGGCAGGGTCTCACTCTGTCACTCAGCCTGCAGTGCAGTGTCACGATCATGGCTCACAGCAGCCTCAACCTGTTGGGCTCAGGTGATCCTCTGACCTAAGCCACCTGAGTAGCTGGGACTATAGGCACATGCCACCACACTCAGCTAATTAAAAAAATTTTTTTTGTAGAGACAAGAAAAATTTTACTTGTGTAAAAATCTTACTGTGTTGCCCAGGCTGGTCTCAAACTCCTGGGCTCAAGCGATCCTCCCACGTTGGCCTCCCAAAGTGTTGGGATTACAGGCATGAGCCATTGTGCCCAGCCTTACTCCTGTCTCTTTAAAACAACAAAAACACAAGAATCAACCAACCACTCATTCAACTGTTTGTGTAAGGTGCTGCAGTCATGCCTTCTGATTTTGGAATTTGTCAGATGATAGACCATGAAGAGATGAGCAACCAGCGAACAAACAAATGACAAGGGCGGACTGCAAATACAGAAACAAATAAGCCACGGGCTGTGGCATGGGGGCATTTGTTAGTTATGAATGAGAGACTGCTGGGTGTCATATTTAGCCAGCATGGGGCTGGTAAGTAAGCCTTCTGTTTGGATCAGTCAAGGATTCAATTTTGTTTTCATCTCTTGAATGGCCCGGGGCCCTGTCAGAACTCCAGGGCCCATCTAAGTGGCTCACTGCCTGTAATCCCAGCATTCTGGGAGGCCAATGCCAGCAGATCACATGAAGTCAAAAGTTGGGGACTGGCCGGGCCAACATGGTACAACCCTGTCTCTACTAAAAATACAAAAATTAGCTGGACATGGTGGTGCATGCCTGTAATCCCAGCTACTCAGGAGGCTGAGGCTGGAGAGTCACTTGAACCCAGGAGGCAGGGCTGAGATTGCACCATTGCACCATTGCACTCCAGTTTGGGCAACAGAGCAAGACTCTATCTCAACAACAATAACAACAAAAACTTCAGCTGATCTTAAGTCAAGGGTCTTGTCAAAAATACTCAAGAGCCAGCTTTCAGTGGTTCCCACTGGCCAGTGATGAGACAATGTAAGCATCAGGGGTATAAAGTATATTCAATATGTTTAAATCCTTGAGTTTGTAATAGCACTTTAAAAATATTGACTGCCCAGCCTAGGCAACATAGCAACAACTTTTCTCTACAACAAATAAAAAAGGCAAGTGTGGTGGTCCTAGCTTCTTGATGGGGTACACTGAGGCAGGAGGATCACTTGAGCCCAGGAGTCTGAGGCTGCAGTGGGCTCTGACTGCAGCATTGTGCTCTAGCCTGGGTGACTGAGTGAGACCTCTCACCAAAATATAGATGTAGATATATCTCTCTTTATATATTGATCAAAATCACGTATTTTGATCAATATATACATTATTTTGAAAATTTGTGAATAAAGAAAACAAATATTTGTCCTGTCTTTCTGACAGGAACGATACCAAATAAAATGGTAGATGAAGGGAAATTTTTTTTCTTTATAGAAAATTCTCAGCTGATAAATGGAGGAATGAAAGAATTAGTTTTATTTATTTATTTATATTTTTTTGAGATAGAGTCTCACTCTGTTACCCAGGCTGGAGTGCAGTGGCACGATCTCGGCTCACTGCAGCCTCTGCCTCCCAGGTTCAAGCAATTCTCCTGCCCCAGTCTCCCAAGTAGCTGGGATTATCGGTGCCCACCACCACACACAGCTAATTTTTGTATTTTTAGTAGAGAAGGAGTTTGTCATGTTGGCCAGGCTGGTCTTGAACTCCTGACCTCAGGTGATTCACCTGCCTCAGCCTCCCAAAGTGTTGAGATAACAGGTGTAAGTCACTGCTCCCAGCCAGAATGGCAGAATTAGAATATCACTGTTTTCTAATTGTAAATGAATGAATAAATCTAGAGATTAATCATCAGTAGCTACTAACATCATGAAAAACATACTTTCTCCTTAATTTTGTGCCTCTGATAGAAGAACACAATGAAATGAACACCTGTGCCGGCAAAAAAACTGAACTGAATACAAGTGAGCTAGATCCAACTACCCATTTCCAGGAAATGGAACCGAGGAACATGTCAAATGATACAGATTATGAAACACTCGACAGCATAAAGTGCCCAATTACTAAAACAAATGAATTATAATCAGAGAAAAATGGAGAAAGCCAAAGAGACTTTATGAGACATACTACCCAGTTGCAAGCTGTGGGTTCAAACAAACTGTAAAAATCTTATTAAAATATTGATCATTGCCAAAGTGAACATTAGTGAGATATTTGATGATCTTTAGGAATTATTAACGTTTTAATTTTAATCTTTCAAGGTGGAGTCTCACTCTATTGTCCAGGCTGGAGTGCACAGGTGATATATTAGTTCACTGAGACCTCTGCCTCCCAGGTTCAAGTGTTTCTCTCACCTCAGCCTCCTGAGTAGCTGGGACTACAGGTGCATGCCATCATGCCTGGCTAATTTTTTTTTATTTTTATTTTTAGTGGAGATCAGATTTCACCATGTTGGCTAGGCTGGTCTTGAAATCCTGACCTCAAGTGATCCACCTGTCTTGGCCTCCCAAAGTGCTGGGATTACAGGTGTAAGCCATTGTTCCTGGCTTATTGTTAACTTTTCAGATATGCTAATGGTATCATGGTTAAGTGTGTAAGCGATCAAGCTTTTATTTTTTAGGGAGACAAATGGAACTATGTATCATTTAGATGAATCGTACAAAATCTAGAATTTGCTTTAAAAATAATAGGAGAGGGGATGGAGAGGGATGGGTTGAGGTCTTCATAAAGCAAGATTAGTCATGAGCTAATAATTGTTGAAAGTGGTCCATTGGCTCATGGGAGTTTAATATTTTCCGTAACAGAAAAGTTTAAACAGCTGGGAGCATTAGCTCACTCCTGTAATTCCAGCACTTTGGAAGGCCGAGGTGGATGAAGGTCAAGAGATGGAGACCATCCTGGCCAACATGGCGAAACCCCGTCTCTCCTAAAAATACAAAAATTAGCTGGGCATGGTGGCCCACACCTGTAGTCCCAGCTACTCGGGAAGCTGAGGCAGGGGAATCGCTTGAACCAGGGAGGCGGAGGTTGCAGTGAGCGCCATTGCACTCCAGCCTGGCGACAGAGGGATTCTTGGTCTAAAAAAAAAAAAAAGAAAAGTTTAAAAACATTCATTGGCCAATCTATCTGTCCATTTATTTTAATATTAAAAACATTAATTATTATTAGTAGTATTAGATTAATATGAAGTCTCACCTTCTTGATTCACCCAGTCCATTTCATGGGAGATGTGGCGGTTTCTCTTGGGTGTTAGAAAACCATTCACCAGCCCAGTGACTTGGGAACTTCAGTTCTCTGAGTCTCCCTGTATTCCTTTGGAAAACAAGAGATGGTGATGATTTCTACCATCCTGCCTGAAAGCTGACAGTTGCAGTAACTAAGAGATTTGGGTCCTGCAGTCTGACCGTCTGGGCTGGAATCGAGCCTCCCCCTAGGTATACCCTTGGGTAAATTTACTTCATCCTTCAGGGCTTCATCTTCCTGTTTTGTAAAATGTAAATAACAACGCTGACCACAAAGGGTTGTTGTGAAGATTACAGGAAAGAGTTCATTGATTCATTCCACCAACACTGAACACCAGCTCTCCAGCTCTGGGAGGGGAATGTGGTGGAGTGGCAAAGAAAATACAGGGGCCGGGCCAGATCACATACGCTAAACACTAAATAAGTATTTCAAATAGTTAGAACTGAGACGAAGATACAACGCAGCAATTTGATGGACGGCAACTTCGGGAAAGGTGAGCTGCAACATTAACTAGGCTGATCTGGGACAGTCTGGCAGAGGTGACATCTGAGCCCCACCTGACTTAGAGGATGTCAGCTATGGATGATCCGGGTTTCCCTGTGCAGCAGCAGTTCTCAACCCAGGCGACTGCACCGCCCTAAACCTCCCTCCACTTTTGTCAATGTCTGGGGATTTCTGGTTGCCACCACTGCGGATTGGGGGGTTTGTTCTCGTATCTAGTGGGTACAGGCTAGGAACACCGCCCAGTATCCTACAGTGCACAGGACGCCCCAAGCCCCCCAAATTAGCCGGTCCACAGATAAAGCGAGAAGAGCAGGGGTAAGGGTCCTGCAGGACTCAGAAAGGAGCTTGCTGTGTTCGGAAAACTCAAAATCCAGTGTGGCTGAGTGAGAATGATGAAGAATGAGGTGGACGGGGCTGAACTATGGAGCACTTTTCAGGGCATGGTGAGGAATTTGGAATTATCCCCAAAGCAGTGGGGAGCCCTTGAAGAATTTTAAACAGAAGGGGAAGGTAACCCATGCGAAACGCTTTGCATATATAAGCGCTCAGTAAATAGCGTCTATTATTAATATTATTATCACCGCTGTGTCTTCCCTACTTTGCTCCAGACCCGGCCCACGCCTCAGCGCGGCCGCAGTGACTCCTCCTGGCCACCAGAGGGCGCCAGCCGACACTTGGCGCCGGCCGCCCGGGGCGGGCCTCCTCTTGCCGTCCCCTTCCTCGTCTTTTCCCCTCAGGAGAAGTCGGGAAGGTGGCGGCGGTGGCGGTTGTCCCGGCCGGGCCGGTTGGTGTGGCCCGTCAGCCCGCGCACCGCAGCGCCTGCGCCGCGTCGAGCCCAGCAGAGCCAAGCCGCGGCGGCCAGGTCCGGCGCGGGCGGCGCGCGCTGACGGAGGGCGGCGGCCGCGGCCAGGGCGGCCCGTGGGACCGCGGGCCCCCGGCGCAGCGCCGCCCGGCTCCCGGCCCTGCCGGCCTCCTCCCTCGGCACAGCGGCCATGGCGGCCAGCGCGAAGCGGAAGCAGGAGGAGAAGCACCTGAAGATGCTGCGGGACATGACCGGCCTCCCGCACAACCGAAAGTGCTTCGACTGCGACCAGCGCGGCCCCACCTACGTGAACATGACGGTCGGCTCCTTCGTGTGTACCTCCTGCTCCGGCAGCCTGTGAGTGCGGGGCGGCCGGGCGGGTGTCGGGCCCTTCCCGGGAGGTGGGGGAGCGGGCGGCGGGGTCATGATCCTGCCGGGGCCTGGGAAGCGCGGGGCGGCGTGGGAGGAGGTCGGGGGCGGCCGTTGGGCGCCGGCTGGCGGGCGCGGCGTGGGAGGCTGCGGGCTGGATGTGCTGGGCCGAGGCAGCCGGGCTGGGGATGCGTTTTCTGTTTTGCTGGGTGAGGGTTAACGCTCTGGGCAGCCTTCGTGGGTGGGACGTGGGCAGGGTTGGGGTCAGGGAGGGGGCGGCTGGGGCGAGCCTCCCGGGTCTCCCTCGAGCCTGCGGCCGCCGCCCTCGCTCCCCAGCTCCCCGGGGCGCCGGGCTGTGGGGGGAAGACGCTGGGAGGCCGGGGAGGTCCGTGCGGGTCCTTTGTGTGCCCCGCCTCTCAGCGGCCCGGGCGCGGCGGTGCGGAGCGAGGCACCTGCCGGGCGCCGGCGCAGGGGGTCAGGGAGAAGCGGGGTGGGAGGAGCAGGGACGCCTCGCTTGTGCCTTTTTTTCTGGATCGAGAGTATCTAGGTAACTGGAAGAAAGCAGGCACTTCGGAACAGTAGCAGGATGAAAATATCTTAATGGCAGATATGTGAATCCCCAGGGAAAAGTTCGAAAGGCTTAATTGCGAGAGGGGAAGGCAGAGGAGCAGATTTGAAGTCGTTGGGGTTTACTTTTATGGTCTGAAGAGAGTGTTGAGGACTTTGGGGAAACTTTTAATGACGATAAGGTACAGCCTAGGAGCTGTATCGCTCTAAATATGATGGAGGTATCTGTGAGACTTATCTGTATCTGTTATCAATACCCAAGTGCCCTGGCTGTACACAGAAATGAGGAGATCTAGCTAGTCAGCATGTTTTCAGAAAGACAGTACCGTCCTGAGTTACTGGGATGATTTGTGTTTGTGCTTCATTAAGCTTTATTTTGATAAAGATTTTTATTGCCGTGCAATTTCATTAGGAAAATTTGCAGGTGGTTTTGGAATTGATAAAATGCCTTTATGTTACTGATTATCTTGCATTCAAAGTTACAACGTGGCAGTTGCTAAGTATTCTTAAAACCTTTGCTTGTAAGATTAATACCGAGACAAAGGATATAATACTTTATGTGGGAACATTGATTTCTTAGAAAATGCAGAACATGCCCAGTAATATACTATTTGCTTTTTAAAGTTGGGCAAAGAGGCGTTATTAGTATTACATGAATATTACTTCTTCAGCGGACATTTTTTGGGTGCTTATTAGGTTGTGTAAAGCCCTGGGGTATGCTACTACGGCAAAGTCTTGTTCTCTTGGCTCTTACAGTCTAGTGGGCATACTTAAGTAAGAAAAAGAGTCATAGGCAAGTATTGTGCTGAGCATTCAAATTGTTTGATAGGAGAGTCCTCACGGTTACTTTTAGGCTGTGTAATCAGGCAGACACTCTGAGAAGTTGCCAGTTAGTGATATTCTTGAATTGCTACAGAATCACAGAGCTAGGTGATATCAAAGATGTAGTCTGGTTCATGCATTTCATTTACAGAAAAAGGAGTAAAGCTAGAAAGTTGTTACTTATGTTGGACAACGTTGGTTCCAAAATGAAGACAATAGAACAATTTTAATTGTATTTGATTTTTATTACATGCTTAAGAAGTATGTCCTGCTTTTACTAAACACAGGTCCTTTAATGCATTTAAAGTATTTAGTTTGAAAAAAATACGTATATCTACAGTTCTGGATTTCTGACATTTCTCTGTAGTCCTTGTAAGTGCAGCAGCGAGTATGTAATATCAAGGAAATATTTTCCAATTTCTTTCTAGATACCACATTTCAACAACATTTTATATAAAAGGATATCTCAGTATAATGACAGTTGTCTGTCTTAATGAAATTTAATTCATTAATTTTGAAGTCCTGTGGCCGTTAGGGCTTCATTTCTCTATTGGGTCATGATTCCTCAAATATTTATTGGCCACTTGTCCTGTGTCATATACATGTGGGAGGCACTGGAGTACCTGGATCTTAACTGTACTGTGGAGCGTGCTTTCTAAGTGTGTAAACACATGGTACTAGGTACACATGGCTTTGAATTCTGACTCCAAGTATTATGCAGTATTCAGAATGCCACTTAATCTATTCGAGCTTGAGTTTTCTCATATATGAAACAGTGAGGATAAGATTTCCCTTGTAGGTTTTGGATGTAGATTTCTTTTCATTATTAAAAATAATGTATAATAAGTGCCCCATAGATGAGAAGCATCAAGGGAGAGGACATTCCATGAGTAAGGGAACAATACTGTGTGTGAAAGATATTAAATGAGAAATATCCTAATAAAAATCTATCATTTTAGATTTTATGGTTGTAACTCAAAACCGATATCAAATTGGTTTAAAAATACGAAGGATTTATTGAATAATTTTAAAGTAAAGCTATCCAGTGGCTTAATAATAATGCCTAGATTTTCGTCATGCAAGTATGGTTGTCCCCAGCTCCTGGGTCATACTGCCTTAATTATGTCACTGGTGCAACACTTTCAGGAGTTCTGCATTTCCTTCTGATTGGGTTAGCTTAGATCATGTTACAGGTGGACACATGTTCTACTTTATTGTCACAAGGATCCCCAAATAGAGTTCTCAAATCTGAACTCTAGAATTCTTGGGATGTAGGGAATGAAGACTGGAATGGCAGCCATCAAATGTCTACAGTAGAACACTCAAGAGACAATAAGCTGCTGAAGATTTTTTTCTTTGACAAGCACTAATACAGGAACATAATTTAGGAAGAATAACTCTTGGGTTTAATAATTATGTATTTGCTGTTTAGATGACATGGTATAATTTAAAGAATATGAATTTTGAAGTCAGATTTTGACAGTGCTACTAGCTTCATGACTTAGGGCAAGGCATTAAGCCAGGCCACTACGTGCAGGTTGGCCTAGATCCATCCTGTTAGCCTCAGTTTCTTTATTTGTGATAAGAAGATAACATATAGCTCAGGTTTGTTAAGAGGATTAAATGATACTTATTGAGCACCTACTGTATTTGAGGATAGGGCTAATCAGTGGAGTTAGAGATACTGAAATAAGGCATGCTAACTGCCGTTCCTTGATTTACCTGGAAAATATGAATCGTAGCAAATAGTATCCACTGTCATGAATTCTAAATTTTAGGATAGTGGCATCCTTCTGTCATTTATAGTAATAGCTTTTTTAAAAGTAATTGAACTAGTATCTTATTGTTAATGTTACCAGACTTGTAGCTAATCTTTCCTGTTTCTTTTTTTCCAGATGACTCTCCTATATGCTTGAATGATGTTCTTTTAGAGTGTATAACTGAATTTAGATTGTGAACCTTTAAAATAGAGCAGGGATTTATATTCTTAATTCCTTTTTTAGATATTTTGATGTGGCCACGTTCCGTTAAGTATTTTGATAATGTAACGTTTCAATTTAGAGTAAGTGGCCAAAATATTTGATACTTTTTCTTTTTCTTTTTTCTTTTTTTTTTTTGAGACAGAGTCTCACTCTGTTGCCCAGGCTGGAGCACAGTGTGCGATCTTGGCCTACTGCAACCTCTATATCCCAGGTTCAAGCCATTCTCCTACCTCAGCCTGTCAAGTAGCTGGGATTACAAGTGCCCACCAGCATGCCCACCTAGTTTTTGTATTTTTAGTAGAGATGGGGTTTTGCCATGTTGGTTGGCCAGGCTGGTCTTGAATTTCTGACCTCAGGTGATGCATCACCTTGGCCTCCCAAAGTACTGGAATTACAGGCGTGAGCAGCCTTGCCTGGCCTTGATACTTTTTCGATCATGAAGGACACATTTTTTATTTTAAGCAAATGTTTATTAAGTGCCAGTTACTAGCTGATGTGCTGGAGATATAACAGTTAAAGTATTTATTGAAAAAAATAAAATAAAAACTATTTGAGTACTAGTTGTGTGACAGACATTCTAGTAACAGTCATATGAGGAAGGTAATATTATCCAAACTGAACTTTAAGTTGTAAAATTAGTACTCACTCTTAGTGTTTTGTTGTTATCTGCTAGAATTTGGGATCTGGAACTTTGCTGATTCCACCACCAAAGAATGTATGGTTACCATGGTTACTGTAAATTGTGAATTCTATATTTTGGGAATTTAAATGGTTGATTTTACTTCATTGTGTTTTAAATGGCAGAATAGACTTTTTTTTTTTTTTTTTTTTTTGAGATGGAGTTTCACTCTTGTGGTCCAGGCTGGAGTGCAGTGGCTTGATCTCAGCTCACTGCAACCTTTGCCTCCCAGATTCAAGTGATTCTTTTGCCTCAGCCTCCCAAATGGCTGGGATTACGGGCATGCACCACCATGCCCGGCTAATTTTTTTTGTGTTTTTAGTAGAGACGGGGTTTCACTGTATTGGCTAGGCTGGTCTCAAACTTCTGACCTCAGGTGATCCACCTCCCTTGGCCTCCAAAAGTGAGCCACCATGCCCCGCCCAGAATAGATATTTTATGATGCATCATAAATGTTTGCTTTATGGCTTTGTCATGCCTTTTATTATTTTTGAGTAACTTCTTAACTCCAAAATGTGTGTTCTTATTTTTGAGTTTTATTGAGAAGATTCAGTGGGAAGATGGTGGCATTCCACCAGCAATTCTTTTGAATTTGGCACATCCATACTACCATGTGCCGTAATTCTCTTGCTATTTTTTATATTTGAACTCTAATTAGAAGCTCTCATTCTATGCACTCAGGATTGATAGTAGATAAGTTTATAAAAAAAATTCAGTTAAAGCAAGCAATCAGTAAAAAAGAGAAAAAATATATACATACACACATACGTATACATGTATCTATTATATAGCACACATAGTGTTTTTTTTTTTGTTTTTTTTTTTTTGTTGTTGTTTTGAGATAGGCTCTCTATTGCATAGGCTGGAGTGCAGTGGCAATATCGTGGTTCACTGCACCCTTGACCTTCCCGGGCTCAGGTGATCCTCCAACCTCAGCT